GAGAAATTGGAGAGTAGAGTTTGATATCCTTGCTATGGGTTAAATAGTATCTTAAAATATCAAAACTATGATACAAAAAATTGTCAATGCAATATTCACTGTTAAAAAGGGAAAAAAATTATTTTTAAAATCCAAAATGTTTCGGCTTTAAATCACGCAAAAGGGTTGATAAGCCATAAAAAAAGGATTAATCAATTCTCTCAACAATTATCCTTCATTTTGAAAAATTGGCTTATAACAAAACCGACTATATTTAAAGATGAAAGTTTTGCTGGGAAAGTAGCCTGCCATGTAGACTTTTTGAAACGTAACGGCATTGAAAATCGTGACATAGTCTTCATCGGTAATGTTCTTACCAATTCTACACGAATTGTGTCCATCAATTGATATGTTGTCCTCATCTTCATTGTCATATTAACGACGTTTCGATCGTTATATGTTCCGACCTAATTTGGATATCCTATTGGATACATGGCCCAGTGGATAAAAGCATTGGTTGGGCAATCCAAAAAATGACATGAACCAAAGTGTTGTGAGTTCAATACCTGGCAGAGTAGAGCGAAGAAAAACTTGGAGAGTTGAGTTAGTAAAGGGAATTATCTGATACTGAGATATTTTTTTTTAAAGTCATGACTTGTGGAATTAGAACTATCTACCCCCGTTTAGTAAATAAAGGGTTCGGTTCAAAATTCCAACGTATATCACCCGAAGAAAGTCGGTGTGTACAGAGGCCGAAACTTTGCAAATATAGCAATAAAGAAAAGGATCATAGTCCGAACGAAACACTGTAAATAGAATATCTCATCTTAGAAATATAGGCAGATATGAATAAATTTGTGTCTTTTTGTGGAAATTTATGGTTGCTTCATTGCCGATGAAACTGTGGAATGTTGATTAGAACGTCGGGTTGACCAATTGTAGAATGTACTGCTTCCTGATTGTTGTGGTCACCAATGTTGAATGGGTTAAATAGATAATGTGGCTGCGTGTTGAGAAGGTAATAAACATTCATACATAATATTTAAAACATCAAGGAAAAAAAACAATGAGAACCAATTTTGTTTAACGAAGAAATATATGTATATTAAATTCAACAATAATACAATGTAGTTGTAATATGAGTTAAAAAGGGAGAAAAAAGTAGCTTCCCCTTGACTGTAAGGAAAGGTATTAAAGAAGATTTGTAAAATGTTCAGAGTTCAATGTTGAAAATAGAATATTTCTTTTAGAAAATTGTTCAGTTGTTGCAACTTACAGAGTTGATTTAACTTGGTGTGTCCACTGAGAACTGGTGGTGTATCAAATAAAGGTCTGTATTGTATGTATGTACGTGCGAAGTGAGTAGGATGAAATACACGAGCGAGTAGATGAGATCTATTGTCTCTGGGTACACTCGACTGTGGTTCTAGAACTACTGCTAACTGTTTTTTTTTTGAGCGGGGGGGAATGATCCAATATTTATACTACCTATGGTGGCTCCCAGAAGAGACGCTGGAGTACATTTTTGAATATACATGAAAAATATCCGATTGGACGGAAAATGGACCAATCAGGGATTTTGTAGCAAAGCTTGTTTTTGAACAAAATGTAGGAACAAATTTACTATGGTGGAATGCGCTAGATAAATTGTCCTGTTGTTTTTTTAGTATGTATTTATTGACTAATTACAATTGGAGAAAATGTAGGCGTGGCACTACAAAACGGGTCGAAATCTAAGAAGAGCTCTGATAGAAAAATAAATATATTTTATTTTATTTTGAAAAAGTCGGAATTTTTTAGCTTGCTAAAAACTTCATTGGTCCTCAGTGCTGTTAGAAATCTTGACGCTATATTCATGGAACAGGTTTATAATATCATCTTGTGTTATCCCAAACAACAGTTTAATATTTGTCTGAATCTTTGAGATGAGGACCTTTTATTATTTTCAAGCGGGTTATTGTAACTATGTTTGTTGAAATCACAACGTTTCGATGATTGTGCTTCCCCGGCCTTCATCATGTGTTAGAAGCAGCAATGGTTAGCAGGCAAGTCAGCTTTAATTCTCTAATGTTCTCTACTCTGAACAGTGAATTCAATAGACGGTTCGTGAATTTGGTGACATAGTAATTATGAGTTCAATCCCTGGGTCGAAAACTGTTATCAATAACTGACAGTACTAAATAAGAACTATAGATATCCTTAGGCGAGAACAATATACTCCTGTAAATTAAATAAAGGGTCCACTTCGAAATTCCCTGAACCTTATCCGGATAGATAAGAACCTGATGATGGTCTCAGCGACAGAAAAGTTGTGATAACAACATCAAAGATGAGAACATATTATTTACATAAATCCTCCAGATCTACAAATCAACAATTCGCCCTTGCATGGAGTATTGCTGCCATATATGGTCTGGAGCCCCTTCTGTTTGCCTCGGGGTTCTTGATAGGCTACAGAGGCGGATATGCAATATAACTGGCTCTGGTCTGGCATCTCGTCTACAGTCACTTTTTCACAGAGGCGCCGTCGCCTCTCTCTGTCTGTTTTACAACTACTTTCATGGCAATTGCTCCGAGGAGCTGCATTCGCTGGTTCCCAGACTTTCAAGCGCCCTACGATGCAGGCTCTCACCCCTTCACTGTCGAAACTCCTAAATGTAGCCGTCTCTTCTACTCTAATAGCTTCATGTCTCGCACCTCTCGCCTGTGGAACTCTCTTCCCTATTCCAGTTTCCCTGAGAGCTATAATCTCCAGCTATTCGAATATAATGTCAATCGACATCTCCAGTTGCCTTGATCTATCCACTACCCTTCTCCTCATTTTTTCTTCTATCACTCCTATCTGATCTTGCTCCAAATTTTCTGTAACCCCTTGCATCCTAGTGGCTTCTCTCCTTGCTTGGGGTGAAACGCTAAAAAAAAAAAAATTCTCGACATTTGACGCTGGTGATTGCTAAATTTTTTGGATAAATTAAATAGTTATAAAAATATCCGATAAATCTATTGCTTGGTTGGATATTCCGACAAATTCTGTTGGGAAAAAAAAATTATTAAAACACTTGATGCTACTTGTAAACAATAGATGCTTTTATTAATTGTCACCGTCTTATGTAATTTTAATAACGAGGCTTTTATGCTTACTTATTAGTGGTGTGTTCCATCCACAGTCTGTGCTTCTCCAAATATCAGCGTTAAATTACCAAATCAGCTGACTTCAACGTTTTAATAACATTAAGTGAAGTCTTTGGCCGAGAAAATACTTAAGTGTTCTGATCCTGTTTATTTCTTATTGCTTTCAAAAAATATTTGGTTTTATAAAACATTTTTCACTTGCTTTCTTTTCCTGTTTTTATTTTAATTTACAGCCTTGTAGTTATTTGTTTTTATTTCATTCACCTTACAAATAATTCTCCCGACTTATCCAATTTCTGAATGGTTTTTCATAATTTTCTATTAGTTATTTTCCCAATCAGTTTCTTTATCCTTTGCTTCGTTCTCGTTTGCTTTGTTATTTTCTTCGAGTTTTTTGTTTTTGTTTTTGTTTTTATGCTTATTTTTCTTTTCTTTCTCCCATTCCCTCGGTAATTTGTCACTTTCTTTCATTGTCTCTTTCGCATTTCGTCTTCTTTTTGAATAATCCGTCAGTTGTCTTTCAGTCTGTTTTTCTGTCTGTCTGTTTTTCAATCTTTCTGTCTGTCTATCTTTCTCTCTAACTACCTGTCTTTTTTATTTCCATCTTTTTCTTACTGTCTGTCAATCTGTTTGTCTGTCTGTCTTCATTTAATTATATCTCTCTTTCCTTCTTTCTGTCTGTCTGTTTTTCAATCTTTCTGTCTGTCTATCTTTCTCTCTAACTACCTGTCTTTTTTATTTCCATCTTTTTCTTACTGTCTGTCAATCTGTTTGTCTGTCTGTCTTCATTTAATTATATCTCTCTTTCCTTCTTTCTGTCTGTCTGTTTTTCAATCTTTCTGTCTGTCTATTTTTCTCTGTCTTTTACCTGTTTTTTTTATTTCCATCTTTTTCTTACTGTCTGTCAATCTGTTTGTCTGTCTGTCTTCATTTAATTATATCTCTTTTTCCTGTTTTTCTGTCTGTCTGTTTTCTATATTTCAATCTTTCAATCTTTTCTGTCTATCTCTTTCTCTCTAACTACCTGTCTATTTTTTTATTTCCATCTTTTTTTTACTGTTTGTCAATCGTTTTTGTCTGTCTGTCTTCATTTAATTATATCTCTTTTTCCTTCTTTCTGTCTGTCTTTTTTTTCAATCTTTCTGTCTGTCTATCTTTTTTCTCTCTAACTACCTGTCTTTTTTTGTTTCCATCTTTTTCCCTGTCTGTCAATCTGTTTGTCTGTCTGTCTTCATTTGTTTTATTTCTCTCTTTCCTTCTTTCTGTCTGTCTGTTTTTCAATCTTTCTGTCTGTCTATCTTTCTCTCTAACTACCTGTCTTTTTTTTTTTTTTCTCATCTTTTTTTCTTACTGTCTGTCAATCTGTTTGTCTGTCTGTCTTTTTTTAATTTTATTTCCCTTTCCTTCTTTCTGTCTGTCTCTTTTTTTCAATCTTTCTGTCTGTCTATCTTTCTCTCTAACTACCTGTCTTTTTTTATTTCCATCTTTTTCTTACTGTCTGTCAATCTGTTTGTCTGTCTGTCTTCATTTAATTATATCTTTGTTTCTTTTTTCCTTCTTCTTTCTGTCTGTTTGTTTTTCAATCTTTCTGTCTGTCTATCTTTTCTCTAACTACCTGTCTTTTTTTTATTTCCATCTTTTTCTTTACTGTCTGTCAATCTGTTTGTCTGTCTTCATTTAATTATATCTCTCTTTCCTTCTTTCTGTCTGTCTGTTTTTCTGTTTCCCTGTCTGTCCGTATTTTTTGTCTGTCGTTTTGTCTGTCATTCTGTCGGTTTTTCTTTCTGTCCCGTGTATCTGTCTGTCTCTGTATTTATTGTCTTTCTTTCTTGTTTTTTTTCTTTCTGCTTGTCTTTCTTTTTGTATTTCTTTCTGCCTGCTGGTTCTAGTGTCTATCTATCTATATTTCGATTTGTTTTTCTCTGTCTGTCTATTTGTTTTGATCGCCGTCTTTTTTTCTCGTTTTTCTGTCTTTTTTTTTTTTATATTGTCTTTATTTCCGACTTTTTTTCCATCTTTCTTTCTGTTCTTTATTTCGTCTTTCTTTTTCTCTCTACCTGTCTGTCTATCTGTCTTTCTTTCTGTCTGTCTGTCTGTCTCTCTCTCTCTCTCTGTTTCTGTATGTCTTTTCCCTGTCTTTCTGTGGTTCTTTTTTTATTTTGTCTTCTTTGTTTCTTTTTTCCTTCTTCCTTTCTGTTCTTTGTTTCGTCTTTCTTTTTCTCCCTACCTGTCTATCTGTCTTTCTTTCTGTCTCTTTCTGTCTTTCTTTCTCTCTCTCTCTCTCTCTCTCTCTCTCTCTCTCTCTCTCTCTCTCTCTCTCTCTCTCTGTTTCTGTATGTCTTTTCTCTGTCTTTCTGTGGTTCTTTTTTTTTTTCTTCTTTGTTTTTTTTTTCCTTCTTCCTTTCTGTTCTTTGTTTCGTCTTTTTCTTTTTCTCCCTACCTGTCTATCTGTCTTTCTTTCTGTCTCTTTCTGTCTTTCTTTCTCTCTCTCTCTCTCTTTCTCTCTCTCTCTCTCTCTCTCTGTTTCTGTATGTCTTTTCTCTGTCTTTCTGTGGTTCTTTTTTTATTTTGTCTTTGTTTTTTTTTTTCCTTCTTCCTTTCTGTTCTTTGTTTTCGTCTTTCTTTTTCTCCCTACCTGTCTATCTGTCTTTCTTTCTGTCTCTTTCTGTCTTTCTTTCTCTCTCTCTTTCTCTCTCTCTCTCTCTCTCTCTCTCTCTCTCTCTCTCTCTCTGTTTCTGTATGTCTTTTCTCTGTCTTTCTGTGGTTCTTTTTTTTTTATTTTGTCTTTGTTTTTTTCCTTCTTCCTTTCTGTTCTTTTGTTTCGTCTTTTTTTTCTCCCTACCTGTCTATCTGTCTTTCTTTCTGTCTCTTTCTGTCTTTCTTTCTCACTCTCTCTCTCTTTCTCACTCTCTCTCTCTCTCTCTCTCTCTCTGTTTCTGTATGTCTTTTTTCTCTGTCTTTCTGTGGTTTTTTTTTTATTTTGTCTTTGTTTTCTTTTTTTCCTTCTTCCTTTCTGTTCTTTGTTTCGTCTTTCTTTTTTCTCCCTACCTGTCTATCTGTCTTTCTTTTCTGTCTCTGTCTTTCTTGTCTTTCTCTTCTCCTCTCTCTCTCTTTCTCTCTCTCTCTCTCTCTCTCTCTCTCTGTTTCTGTATGTCTTTTCTCTGTCTTTCTGTGGTTCTTTTTTTATTTTGTCTTTGTTTCTTTTTTCCTTCTTCCTTTCTGTTCTTTGTTTCGTCTTTCTTTTTCTCCCTACCTGTCTATCTGTCTTTCTTTCTGTCTCTTTCTGTCTTTCTTTCTCTCTCTCTCTCTCTCTCTCTCTCTCTCTCTCTCTCTCTCTCTCTCTCTCTCTCTCTCTCTGTTTCTGTATGTCTTTTCTCTGTCTTTCTGTGGTTCTTTTTTTATTTTGTCTTTGTTTCTTTTTTCCTTCTTCCTTTCTGTTCTTTGTTTCGTCTTTTCTTTTTTCTCATACTTTTCTATCTGTTTGTCTTTCTGTCTCTTTCTGTATTTTTTCTCTCAATTTCTGTCTGTATTTTGGTCTGTCTTTCTGTCTTTCTTTTTTATTTTGTCTTTAATTCCGTCTTTTTTTTTCGTCTTTTTTTCCTTCTTTCTTTCTGTCTTTTATTCCGTCTTTTTTTTTTCTTTCTACCTGTCGGTCTATCCATCATTTTGTTTCTTTCTGTTTTTCTATCTCTCTCTTTCTGTCTGTCTGTCTGTCTTTCTGCCTGTCTTTCTTTCTTTAATTTGTCTTTCTTGCCGTCTTTCTTTCCTTCTTTCTTTCTGTCCATCTGCCTTTCTTTCTATCTGTTTCTCCGTCTGTTTATCTTCCTGCCTTTGTTTATTTATGTCTTCCTTGTTTATTTGTCTTTCTCTCTCTCTCTCTCTCTCTCTCTCTCTCTCTCTTTGTGTCTTTCGTTCTGTTTGTTTTTCTCTCTCTTTCTCCGCTTCTGTCTTACTCTCTATCTTTTCCGTGTGTCTTCCTTTGTATCTTTCTTTCTGTCTTGCCGTTTCCTTTCATCTTCGCTTTTGACTCCATTCTTTTCGTTATTCAAGTCTTTCTTATCGTTATCATCCTATTCTCATCATGTTTCCGCCATTTTTCCCATTATCTCTTTCGGGTGGTCTCAATTATTTCTTCACTTTCTTTTTGTAATTGCTTCACTAGACAGTTTGCAATATTTCAAACCTCTTCTAAAGATATTTCTAATGTCGTAAACATATAATGTCCGATACTTATTGCCTGAGCTGTACATTAAATTTTCCCACTTTGCGGACTATTGACTAAAGACGCTCACAAAAATGTTTTTCGGCTTATAACGCATCCAAAACAATGTGAAAAACTATATCGTTATAGAATATTTCTTTATCTTCGTTCTTGACTGACATATCGGTAGTTATGCACAATATATCAATAATACTCTAAAAGGTTTAGATCTTTCATGCTGAAACAGTTCTAGTCAATTCTGTACTGTTTGATTTAGAAATGTAAACCCCTAGCTTCAAGTATATGGGAGATCATAGGAGATCGAATCAAACGTTGAGAATTTACTGTAAATCTATTTTAGGGTTAACGAGTCTCTTCGACAGAGCTGTAAAATTATGAGTTATATCTTTATTAATAAGTCGCTTCTTTGTCCGTGAGAAAATTGTCTAACATTCAATGTCACAGTTTACAATGCAGTTTACTTTTCTTTGTTTCCAAAGATATATGTCCGTCTCTTCACATGTTGGTTGGTTTCTGTACAAAATGTAGCGTGTAAACTAAGTGAAAGTAAAACTACTCAGAAAGTACTAACAAAAGCTTCAAGTGAAAATCATCATCATCATCATCCCCTTGTGTTTTGTAATCGTGGTGGGGGAGGGGTCAGAATGCAGATGCCACACTGAATCTTCTCCACAACGGTTGATCAACGGCAGCCGACAGCAATTCTGGTATAGTCATACTTTTTTTTTAAGCATTACCCCCCAAGCAAGGCGTGAAGCCACTAGGATGCAGGGGGTAGCGGAAGATTTGGAGCGAGAGCAGATAGGAGTGATAGGAGAAAGGGTGAGGAGAAGGATAGTGGATATATCAAGGTAACTGGAGATGTCGATTGACATTACATTTGAATAGTTGGAGATTATAGCTCTCAGGGAAACAGTAATTGGGGAGGGTGTTCCACTGGCGAGAGGTGCGAGGTATGAAGCTATTGGAGTTGAAGAGATGGCTACATTTAAAAGTTTCTACTTGTCCATTGTTTGACATTGTCCAACCAACTTTTGCGTTGGCGTCTCCTCCTGTGTCCAACTTCAACGGTGCCTTGCATGATGGTCTTGCACGGGATGTCGAGCTCTGTAACGTGCCTAAACTACGTTATTTTTTCTTCGTTTAACAGAGCCGAGAAGAGGTTCCCGGTGGTTCCCAACACTTTCAGCCATTTTCCACACAAACTTATTGGTTATATGTTTCCAACAGAGTATGTCAAGGAGTTTTTCTCATGCATTTGTTCTCAAACGCGCTTGGATCCTTCTCACTATTTCTACCAACAGTGTTACCGTTTCACATCCATATAGGAGAATGGAAACAACCAGTGATTTATACCGTCTGTATTTCGTTTGTAAGCTGATTTTGCTCCTCCGTATGCTTGCCAATTTGGCCATCGCTGCCATTGCTGCAGCAATCCGTGTGCGGATTTCCGAGTTGCAGGTACCATATTTAGACAAGATTTCTCCCAAGTATTTAAAATTGGACACTTCCTCCAGTGAATTCCGTTTCATAGATAATGGCTGGACAATGGACTCTACGACCAAGTGCACAGACCGAAGGCAATTCGTATCATAGTATTTTCGACTGTCGGCTAAAGGCATGGAGAGGAGATGGGCACCGCCAAGTTATCTACAAGCCCACTGAAAGGATTATGAAGCATCTAAAACTAGGTGTTCATGTTTCTTGGACTTTTACGGAAATTAAGCGAAAAAGAATGCCTTATAAAACGATAAGTGATAAGACAAAAACGGAATTTTAGAATAAAGTGGAGGGAGAAGATAATAATTAAATAAAACAGACCAAAATAACCTAAGCTTCTTAGATTTAGTGAAGCTTTCTGGAAATAAATCAATTAAAGGTGTTCATAAAACGTTCTTTGTGTGCTGTATACAAAAATAGTTAATTTTATACTGAGATGCTTTGCAATTTCTGTCTGTCTTAATTCTTGGTTATTTACACTATTTATGTTACGACATTTGTCCGGATCTTTGTGGTTTTTATTACAACGTTTCAGCCGCTGTGCACTGCAGCCTTCATCAGGTGTATATACAACAACCAATGGCAATATCAGTCAGTTATGTGCCATGCGTGATACACGCTTAGGTGATCATGTATCTTTCGATACATGACTGACGAGGCAGATTGTTTTTTTCCCGGAGTAAGTTGCTATTTCTTTCTGCGTTAGACCAGTTGCTATCCGACGCTATAGAACCCGGTCTGTTCTGCTTTTAACCAGCGCTATGGGGGGGGGGAAGAAGAGGATTTATACCTTTCCTAAGGGTATTAGCACGTAAGTGAATGTAATGGATTCGACTGAAATCCGAACTCGGTTCTCCGATTCCTCAGTCCGAGCCGCTATCCATTACTCCACCGTTAAATAATGTAAACAAGACATCCTTTATGTTTTCACTTGTCATTTTTTCTCGACTTTTTTTCTTCACTAATATTTCGAGTTATAAAAATCATGTTGATTTATATGTTTTTATTTCCGTTTCTGTATTTTTTTATCATTAATTTCGACTCACTATCATCCCTTCCACATTATCATTTTATTATCTTTCTTTCTCATTTAATCATGTACATTTGTTTCTTTTGCCGTTACGTTTTAATATGTCTTTACTTTCAGTTCATTTTCTACTTCCTCATTTGCACCTTCTATTCACTTGTAGAGAACATTTAAAATCAACAAAAGAAAGAATTTTAATATAAACGAATCAAGAGTAAAAAAAAAATGATTAAAAATAGAACCTGAAAAAGTACTCTTATCTTTCAACATGAATAGTCTCAGCTATGTCTCTTTTTACTCGAAGACGAGAAATTAAATGAAGTGTTCTGACTCCTGATGATTCTCAATAGAATGCAATACCACCCCATTAAACTAAAAGGGTCGGTTGATTTGGGACAAGTTTTCGTGCGCTCGTCTATTGATGGTAGTAAAGAGTAACTTTTCTCATTAGCCATTTGCAATTTTGTTTGGTTAGCGGCATATCAACTCCTTATTGGTCATTTAATGCCAAAATTTAATTTTGGGGGGAGCATTAGTGAATTATTTTACAAAAATATATTGCTGCTATTTTTTTTCAAAAATGTATTGCTGGTATTTTTTTTTCAAAAATATATTGGTGTAATTTTTTTATTTTTTTCAAATATATATTGCTGATAATTTCTTTTTCAAATATATGAATTGCTGGTAATGTTTTTATTTATTTATTTTTATTTTTTTTGCAAATTATATCGTTTGTAATTGTTTTGCTATAAAAATGCATCACTTATAATTATTTTACTCTCAAATGTATTTTTATACTTTCATAGTGGTTTAACCCCAGCTTGTGGGGGGTATCTATTTGCCTATAGTTGGGATTCTAACAGATGCCACCACCCCGGGACAAAGTGGACCTGGGAACAACTGCAATTAAGAGGTGGTTCCACGCTCCTCCAAACCTTGCTGCAGAATGTAGTTTATCGTCATACACGGGACAATGCAATTTTGTTACTACTTCCATTAAGACAATTTTGTCTTCTCGTTATTTTCACGTGGGGGCAATACAACCAAAACAAGCATAAAATAAAAACAAGAACAAGATATCCCCTCCCCCCAACAAAAAAAAAATAAAGCGAAAAGAGAAGAGGAAAGTGAAAATAAAGATGAATATCCTTATCTTTTGACATGGTTGAACAGATAAAGATGAAAAAAAGAACGAGTCGTAAAATAAGAATCTATAACAGACGATAGGGATTTGAGCAATAATGGCGACGGGAGCATTTACTGCTACTCAATAACTTTTTAACTCGAGAGCACGATCAGAGAAAAATGTGGCAATCGATATTATTTTAACTAAATTTAACTGTTCCGATCAGTGGGTTTATAAAGCTCTTCCGCTTGCCTAAAAAAATTCAGTATATTAAAAATAGAAGCAATTCGCTAAAAAAATACCAGGAAAACGATCCAATGTATGTCACATCATTGATCCTATTGGTTGTTCTATTATTTTCCTCTTCGTCTGTAGGAAAAAGATGCATATTCAAACATTACTACAGAAGACATTGGGTGTGGCCTAACTGGATGCTTCGAAATGGGGTCATCTCATCAATGATATCCAAAATCTGATAGTGATATCATGGATGATAATTTCACGATCTGAAATGCTTAAATAATACGCTGGTAAATTTGTTTTGTTTTTAAATTAGCATTCAGCCTTATCTGCTGTAGATGTTAAAACTTCGAATTGGTTGAATAGAGGAGGAATTAAGGATTTATGGTTGTTCAGCACACACTTGCAGAACCGCAAGTCAAGAACATAACTTGCGAGATGCTTTCACTCAATACGAACAGTGAAAAAGCGACGTGTGTTGCAATCAGACGTGTCGCTCTGGTACAGTCAGAAGAAATGATGCCTGTGGGCTATAGCGGCCGAGTATGCAGCTGTGTACCAAGGAGATGAGTGCGGTTTAAGTTGGTATTTCCTTGCTGGAATGAAAGCATAGATGCCGTTTTTCACTCAGGAAGAAAGCTCAGACGCGTAATTTTGTGTTCGTACAGTTTGAAAATTATAAGTTACAAATCGGCCTTGTCGCACGGACGTAGAGTACGCTGACCTCATTCTCTGTAGAAGCTTAAGGGCTCTACAAAAAGAGCCAATTTCCGGGCGGATACACGCAGTCTAGGCTATAAACATAACCAATGTCAATCTATTTTACTCTTGTTCGAACAGCCCGACCCGCGATCACCATTTCAATCACATTCTCACCGCAATAAAGTGTCTTTACTATAAATATTTTCATGACCATTATTCCGATGAGTTTTCCTCGTTGATATCTCGATTTCAAGAATTTAAGAGCCATACTAGATTGTTAATTAGGTCTCATCATTTTACTATAAGTTCTATTGTAATTTCTCCTCCACTCGC